ACCTCAGGCTCCTACGCATTTGGATGTATGTTTTGAGATTGAAAGTGCTACTCCTCATGCCTGAAGAAGGTCCCTCATCACCTGGTTCTACAAGGATTGGCTCATTAGCCACTACAGTTGCTCACCTTCAACACACCTTGAAAGGAGTTCAGGGCGGAGATCAGGAATGAGGCTCTAAGTGCTCTGGGAAAACTGGCAGAACAGGTCTTCAGATAGGTAGGTATCTTCAGGAGGACATTTTTTTTTTTAATGACTTTATTTATTTATTATTTATTTATTTTTGGTGGTGTTGGGTCTTCGTTGCTGCGCACCGGCTTTCTCTAGCTGTGGTGAGCAGGGGCTTCTCACTGCGGTGGCTTCTCTTGTTGCAGAGCACGGGCTCTAGGCGTGCGGGCTTCAGTAGTTGTGGCTCACAGGCTCTAGAGCGCAGGCTCAGCAGCTGTGGTGCACGGGCTTAGTTGCTTCTCTGCGTGTGGGATCTTCCCAGGCCAGGGCTCGAACCCGTGCCCCCTGCATTGGCTGGCGGATTCTTAACCACTGCCACCAGGGAAGTCCCAGGAGAAAATTTTTATGAACCAAATTTCTTGCATCTTCCCATATGTAGAAAAGCACTAAAATCATTAGCCGAGACATCTGCTCTTTGTGACTAGCAGCAACCTTCTACTGAGATGTGTGCTTGATTGCACATCCCCTTTTCCAAAATCACATATATGCTGACCTCCTTCACACCGCTTCGGAGCAGTTTCTCAGAGCTCTCTGAGAAGCTCTCTCCAGGGCTATAGTCCTCAGTATGGCCCCAAATAAAACTGAAACTCACAGCTCTCATGTTGTGCATTTTATTTCATTCAACATTCTCTTTCCAATTTATCGCTATTCCAAAATAAGGAAACTAAGGATCTGACACCCCAGCAGCACTCTGTCTCAGCCAGCCCCGAGGGAGTGCTGTCGTGTGCAGGGCCCACACCCAGGCAGGGGCCATTACCCCAGTCAGGATCACACATTCCAGGTAACGGGCCACCACTTGCAAAACTCTAACCTAAAGCCAGTCTTTTTTTTTTTTTAATCACCAGTCAATCCTAGACAATTTGCTAATTAATTAGCATGATGAATATTAGAGGACTGGGGTTAAGATGTGCGGATCAGCTAAAAAAAAAAAAAAAAAAGGTTCTGAAGAACCTGGGGGCAGGACAGGAATGAAGACGCAGATGTAGAGAATGGACTTGAGGACACGGGGAGGGGGAAGGGTAAGCTGGGACGAAGTAAGAGAGTGGCATGGACATATATACACTACCAAATGTAAAATAGATAACTAGTGGGAAGCAGCCGCATAGCACAGGGAGATCAGCTCGGTGCTTTGTGACCACCTAGGAGGGTGGGATAGGGAGTGTGGGAGGGAGATGCAAGAGGGAGGAGATATGGGGATATATGTATGTGTATAGCTGATTCACTTTGTTATAAAGCAGGAACTAACACACCATTGTAAAGCAATTATACTCCAATAAAGATGTTAAAAAAAAAACCATTAAAACACTAAAAAAAAAAAGTGTGAATCAGGGAGAATATTAGCGGCTCTCCCCCTCCCAGACATCTGGCCAGAGTTCCAGCCTTATCTGGGAGATGGTAAAAATGCAGATTCCCAGGCCTGGCCCAGAACTGATGAACCAGAGCCTGCATTTAAACCCATCTCTGGCCTAAACCCCTCAGAGTAGCCCCCTTGACTCGAGACTCTGAATTGGTCTTGTGTCCAGCTGCTTGGAACCCTACCCAGGTTACAGTGGCTTTTGCCTCAGTGGCTCCGTGGAGCTCTAAGCAGATAGAGTGTGCCTTTCTGGGGCTCCTGACCAGGTGGTGGAGATGTGATTTCGTGGAACCTGGGGAAGGTGGCTACTCATCTCTCAGAGGCAGCCCAGGACACGGATCCTCAGTCTCTGCCTCCCACCAAACTGGCTCACAGAAGCAAGACAAATCTCTGAAAAGCTACACAAATGGTACGCAAAGAATATGCAAATCCCACACATCTTTAATTCAAATAAAGCAAGTCGTGCATATTATATGCAAGTAACAAACACATATGCAAATGTCATGAGAGGAAGGGTGCCCGGCTCAGGGGTGAGGGTTGTCAGACACATTTCAAGGAACACACTGAGTATAATAGTAATGGTGGGGCTTCCCTGGTGGCGCAGTGGTTGAGAATCTGCCTGCTAATGCAGGGGACACGGGTTCAAGCCCTGGTCTGGGAGGATCCCACATGCCGTGGAGCAACTAGGCCCGTGAGCCACAACTACTGAGCCTGCACGTCTGGAGCCCGTGCTCCGCAACGAGAGAGGCTGCGATAGTGAGAGGCCCGCGCACCGCGATGAAGAGTGGCCCCCGCTTGCCACAACTAGAGAAAGCCCTCGCACAGAAACGAAGACCCAACACAGCAAAAATAAATAAATTAATTAATAAACTCCTACCAACAACATCTTCTTTAAAAAAAAAAAAAAGTAATGGTGGAGGTCTCATTTCCTGCCCTGAGCCCGGCCCTTCACAAGAATCAGCCCTTGGACCCGACAGCTACAAATTGAGGGGGTCTTATATCCCTGGGTCTCCAGCCCAGGAGTGGTAGGTCTCCAGCCTCTAGCTCTGTACTCGCTGCAGGGCCACAGCGGCCTCTGGTGGATGGTGATGGGACACAGCAGCTGGACCTCTCACTCCACCTCCACTTTCTTCTCCCTGTGTGGTGGTTTCCAGATCCCCCTCCCGTGGGGTCCTGATCATGAACTTCCAAGCCACAGATTAGTGGGGTAGGGGGAGAGGAGGGAGGGCGAGGGGGAGGGGGAGGGGAGGGGGAGGGGGGAGAGTGGAATAATGAGTAATGAGCAGGACTGGCTGAGGGGAGTGGTCAGTGTTCCAAGGGCTCCTGCTGCTCTCCCAGCACAAGCCTCAGGGATTTCTAAACTGCAGACTGCCCAAGGGTATACAGAGAAATGAGAGATCGCTTCCCTGTCAACTACCGGATCCTTGGTTCCTTCCCCAGTGGCCACGGCTGTGACCTGCGTCTCCTTCCAGAGATACTTGGATACCCCCACCCCCCAATTTCAAAAATGGACACAAATGGTTATCCTTCCTACTTTTTACATTAATGCGTTGTGGAGACAAGCTACTTCAGTCTTTTGAACGGTTGTATGCTATTCCACTGCAGGGCTGAACAGCGTGATTTAAACAGTGCCCAAAGGACAGACATTTATTTTCATTTTTTTGCAATTACAAAAAAATGTGGCAGGAAATGCATCATTTTGCATTCATTTGCATGTACCTGTAGAAAAATTCTTAGAAGGAAAACTGATGAGGGAGAGGGTGTGTGCATTTTTAATATTAATAGATTCTAGAAAATTGCCATCTTGAGCAGCCATACTGATGAGCTGTCTCCCCAGAACTGCCTTCGGGCTCACAGCCTTGGCTCTGCCTGTCTCTCTCCTAAATGGGAGCCTGGGGCACAGGTCACGAAGCCTCTGTGCCTCAGTGTCCCCACCTGTTGCATGGAGGTGCCATCAGCACCCACTCTGCCAGCAGGGTGGTCTCAGGGCGTGCCAGGTGACTCCTCTGCGCTCTTGTAGTCCTTAATAGCTCGATTAGTGTCATGGGGCCACATTTTAGGCATTTTTTTGAATAATGCAGTATGAAATGCTGGTAAAGTGTGACTTTACGCGCAGAATTTGACCTAGGGAGTTTCCTCAAATTACAACCCTCCAAGAGGGACTTCCCTGGCGGTCCAGTGGTTAAGACTAGGCACTTCCACTGCAGGGGGCCCAGGTTCGATCCCTGGTTAGGGAACTGAGATCCCACATGCCGCGCAGTGCCGCCAGAAAACCGAAACAAACAAGCAAACCAAACCTCCAAGAGACTCAGCCAGAAGCTGGCGGCCGAGCCAACCACGAGCCGCATTCACGCCACAGCCACGAGAGAGCGCAAGTGAGCGGGAGGCTCCAGGGCCACCTGGGACCCGCAAATTGCTGCTTTGTCTATTTCCTCTGGGACCGCGCTCTCCACCTCCTCTCCAGTGTCCACACGACCTGCCGTGGCACATCCCACCCTCTTGCTCCCACAGGACCTACCCGGCAGCTCTCCGCGGCACTGCCTCAGTTTCTCCGCACGGCCTCTGGCGACCTCTTTGCCGCGAGTCTCCTGGAGAGCTGACTGTGCTCTCTGATCCTCTGAGTCGCTGATTGTCTCTTGAACTAATCGGTGGCCCCATCGCTCCACTGAACCCAGGCTGCTCAGTCTGGCAGTCATTTTTCCATGTTGGTGGACCTTCACTTTCTGCTCCTGAAATCTGTCCTGGCTCCCATGACATCCTGTCTTGGTTTTTGTCCCATATTCTGGCCTCTCTCAACTTCCAAATTTCTATCCTGAACAAGACTCCGATGTCTAGTTGCGTGCACACCCCAAGCCTGTCAGTCCGGAGCTGAGCTACCTCCCCTCCGTGATGCCCCCGTCCGGTCTTCCTGTGGCTCAGCCCACCCCATTTCTACTCAGCAGCAGGTCCTGCAGGTCTACCTTCACCCACGTCCCCCGGCCCTAACCGCTCCTGCCTGCACTTGACCGCCACCTGGAGGTCGCGGGTCCTCCCCTCCCCTGCGGTCTGTTCTCGATGCAGCAGCGGATCCTGAAGATGTGAGTCCCACTGGGGTGCCCCCTGCTCACACCAGGCCTGGCCCCTTCCAAGGGCCGGCACCTCTCGCCCTCCCACTGGTGTGGGTACCTCGGGCAGCGCCCACCCTGCACCTCGGCATGCTCTCTCAATCACCTCCCTAAGGCCTTGTCTTAAGGCACAGTCCCCAATGGGATGTTGGCCGTCAAAAGGAATGAAGCACTGACACATGCTGTATATAAAATGGTGAACCTTGAAAACATGCCGAGTGTAAGAAGCCAGACACAGAAGGCCGCATGTATGATTCTATGTATATGAAATGTCCGGAACAGGCAAATCCACAGAGACAGAAGGTAGATGAGTGGTTGTCAGGGGCTGGGGAGGGGAAATAGGGAGGGACTGCTCACGGGGACGGGGTCGCCTTTTGGGTGGGCTCTACAACAGCCTCGACTGACTGAGACGCCCCCAGGCTGTGGGTTTGGGGTTGCCCAGCATCCTAACAGCTCCTGCTGGCAGGGATAGGGTGAAGAGCAGCTGGGAGGGCTCAGTGGACAGGTCACAGATGCAGGGGGAGGTCCTGATGGCTGTCCCCCGCCCGCCCTGAATGTTTGCAAGGCAGTGAGGGGAAGAAAAGAAGCGCCAACCGTGCAGAGAGCCAGGCTGGGGGCGGGCTCGCAGAACAGCACCAAAGAGACTCGAGCTTTGGGGCGTCGCGGGCACAGGGCTTTAAACATGGGAGCTACCTAAAATATCCAGCACTGGGGCTGAGGGGCTCCGGCCGTGGCAGTTCATTCCCTGGAGGAAGATCCTCCCAGACACAGAGGCAGTGGCCAGTGCAAGATGCATCGTGTAGAGAGAAGCATGGTGTGCCAAGTGGGGGCTCGTCTGCAGGGACACACCCAGACCGCCGCGGACCGTCTTGGCAGGTCACCCTGAGGACTAGCGTGCCGTGGGTGCCGGTGGAGAAGGGGCCAGGACCCGGACACGGTTGGCTGAGGTTGTATCACCCGCCTTAGATTTCCATTTCTTGGTTCTTGAAAGCAACAGAAATGGAGACGTGGAGGGCAGTGTGGTGACAGGCCAGGTGAGAGCAGCCGGCTGCTGCCCAGAGGCCCGTGGGTGTGATGGGTTGGGATGGGCAGATGTGCGGGGGGGATGGAAGCCAGAAGGGTGGGGGCAGAGGTCCTTTGATCCCAGGAGACCACCATGCTCAGTCTTTCGGGGTGCAGGCCGGGACCCCGCTGTGCTGCATGGCTGTGACCCAGCGGACCCTCACTCCCGCACCTCGTTTCCTGTCTGCAACCCTCACTAGGGTGTCGGCGCCACGGTGGTGACACCCGCGGGGGTTGGAGACAGGACAGAGGGATCTCTCGGGCATGGGGGCCCAAGAACCGGGAGAACGGTGATGCATCCAGCTGGCCAGGATCTGGGCGGAGCTGGTGCGGAGGTGCACGGGAGTCAGAACACTCTGTGTCCAGAGATGAAACACTCTGGACAGAAGCTCAGATGCTGGTCATGGTGGCAGCTGACAGTGCGGGGTTAGGGCCGCGGTGACACTGACTGACGGGCAGATACAGTGCACCTGCTCAGGGCCCCCGAGCTGTCCTGAGCCCAGGTTCATTTAATTCTCCCAACAGCCCAGCTCTAGCATCTTCATTCCCGGTGAGGGGAAGAGAGGAGGAGACAGAGGGAAGGTCCCACCCGAAGGCTGAAGCAGAGGAGGAACTGGGCGAGGAGACAGAGAGGGGCATCCAGGAGCCGGGGGACTTGCAGCGCCAAGCCTTGGGCCAGCAGGACTTCAAGAGCACGGATGCAGGAAAGTGCTTGGGAAGTTTATCGTCTTTAACGACATTTCAGCTGAAAATGGTAGAACCTGTATTAACGGGAAAAGGTGCCAAACCAATTCCCAGTAAAATTCTGAGCTCACAACAGACTTAAATCAAAACCGCGTGAAATGACACAGCAGAAGAGAGTGTGGAAGGCAGTGTCTGGGCGAGTTGGCACACGGATGGACAAACGAGCAAACAGAGTAACAACCCGCCCAACTGCGCAGCTGCAGCCCTGCACCTGCGTGGTCAGCCATCAGCAGGAACAAATCTGGGAGTGAACGACATCGAAATTAAAATCGGTCCAAAACTGTAATGGGAGAATTTGTGCCAAGTCCTAGAAGAAACAATTCAGCCTTAACCATAGAATTACAGTAAAAAACACCAAACGGAGTTGGCAGAACGAGCAGTGTCTCAGCCCATTTCAAACCCCAGCTGACAAGCAAAAGATGGTACCGGTGTCGCCTGCCGTCAGCTCAGGGAGCGCTGTCTGCTGTCAGTTCTGGGTCTTCTGAGGAAACATGAATTCCAGGGAACCAAGGCAGGTCACACCGTCCTCTTTTCTGCTCATCCCAACACTTAATTAGATGTGTCTGAGGTGACCCTGCCGGGGTCTCCAATAGGTGAAGCGGTCGACATTCGCCTCACCTGCCAGCCGCCCCTGGCCTGAAAAGACAGAGACAGAGAGTCAGAGGGGGGCCGTGGGACAGATGACCCATCCGGCCCCCGCATCCCTGAGGCGGCCTAGAACATGCCGAGAACCGTGAGAGGAGCCAGGAGATGGGGCAGGGACAGAGGGGTCAGTCCTGGGTCACAGCTGGCCTTGCACACGAGTGTGCCTCCTTGGCAGGAACTGGCCTCCACTGGCCGGGCTCTGGCAAAGGACTGGCAGGGCACCGCGACACACACTCTGAGGGTGAGGGAGACCCAGGCAGGCCCGGAGCTGACAGTGGTCCCACAAACATCGTGGTGAGACGTGGTGAGCAGGAAGAGGCTCAGGAACCCAGCAGGACGCGGGCCTGGCTGGGAGTCAGGAGGGCAGCGCCCATGGCTGCGGGCGTGTGGGCTCTGTCCACAGGGCGGGGATATATCGGGCACATGTGACCCTGGGATGTTTGTCCACAGGAGTCCCCCACAATGGAAACCACTACTATTGGTAGTGGTTTGCAGCTCACGAGAGCAGGGCCTGCAACTCACAAGCTTCCCTTCACCTTCCTCATTCTTTTTTATTTTATTTTATTTTAATGATATATTTATTTGGCTGCGTTGGGTCTTCGATGCTGTGCGTGGGCTTTCTCTAGTTGTCGCGAGCGGGGGCTACTCTGTTGCACCATGCGGGCTTCTCACTGCAGTGGCTTCTCTTGCTGTGGAGCATGGGCTCTAGGTGTGCAGGCTTCAGTAGCTATGTCTCGCAGGCTCAGTAGTTGTGGCGCACGGGCTCAGTAGTTGTGGCGTGCGGGCTCTAGAGCGCAGGCTCAGTAGTTGTGGCACACGGGCTTAGTTGCTCCGCGGCATGTGGGATCTTCCCGGACCAGGGCTCGAACCCGTGTCCCCTGCCTCGGCAGATGCATTCTTAACCACTGTGTCACCAGGGAAGTCCCATTCACCTTCCTCATTCTTGAACTTTCCTTAACAGGCTGAACCCTCCTGCCTGCACCCTCTACCCCTTCCGACCCCACAAGGCCCAAGACCCTGCTCCTCACCCACCCATCCCGTTCCCCCCTCCCCCGCCTCAGCTATTACCTCCCATGTGCTCCAAGGATCTGCCACAGAGGACAGTGCTGGGCAAACAAATCAAGAGAATGCCTTCAAGGGCTGCCTCATCATGTGACACAGGGACACTGAGAGGCCAGCGTTGCTCCATCCACCCTCAGTCTGAAAGCAACTGGGACAAGGACACTGGCCTCAGGGGGACACACTCTGCCCTTGCATGGACACCCATAGGCCTATGGTCCCAGAAGGAGAACATGAGTGGTGAAGGGAGGGGTCCACTCGCAGGACTGGGAGGTGACAGGCTGGGGCCCAGTGTGGGACTGGGAGCCAAAGGGCAGCTCAGGGCCAAGGAGATGGCTCCCAGCTGGGGTGACCTCAGCCCCTGAGACCTGCTCTCTGGAAGAGCATCTGTGCCTGTCCAGGGCAGGGGCCCACGGCACAGGTGGGTGTCCACACCACAACCCCAACCTTCCTGCTTACTATGTGGGGTTGACAGGACACCATGTCACAGTCCACGGAACCCTCACCCCGATTCACTCTCACACGCTCACCCCTACTGTGCTCGAGGTGCTGAGCCCTGGGCAAGGGCAGAGCCGGACAGGTCTGGCCACTTGGTGGTGTCAGAGCATTTACTCTGCTCAGGTGCTCATTATGGGCTGTGGGGTTGCCACAGTGATGGGATGCGCACTGCCTGGCACCGGGAGGCATCCATTCCCTGAACCTTTAAGAGGGGCTGGGGGTAAACGGGTGGGGGGTCAACCCCGAAGGAAACAGGTGGACTGTGTATGGCCCTGCCCACTCCCGCATGGCCTTGTCACACCTGCACCTGCGCAGCCTCTTCAGGACAACCCTGCGCGGGGGGTGAGGCCCCTGTGGCTGTCGGTGGGAGGCCGAGAGGCCCCAGGGACTGCGAGAGGGATGATGCCCTCTGATCCTGGCTGGCCTGGCACCTTGCCCCGAACCCTGAGAAAGTTCCTGAGGGCACATCCCGAGACAGCTGAGATCCATGGCTCATTTTCTTCCCAGATCTTCACTCTGGCCCAGCTCGCACGGGCCAAGGGGGCAGCCAGGATGGCGAGGCCATGGCATGAACGTGTTGAAGGGTCTGAGTCCAGTGGGGCTGTACCTTCAGACCGTCAGGGCCTCGTCTGCCCACCCTTGCCTTCTCCTGATGGGTGCAGACACCATCGGGGAGGGAGGGCTCCTTCCCACTAGGCAAAGCCCTCAGCAGTCATCGAGTCCTGTGAGGCGTGAAGGTCTTTGCCAAGTGGGGCGCCACAGAGCTGGACTCCCTGAGGTGGCTCTGCCAGCCCACATTCATCCCCATGATGGACTGAGACACGGTCGAGATAGCCGGTTCCGAGGACCCGCCACCCACCTGGGCTCCACGTCAGCCCTATCACAGAGTCTGGGAGCCCACAGGTGTCCTTGGGATTGTGCTGGAGACTCACCTGGCCCAGAAGGCTGCCTTCCCCAGGGGCGGGCCGGAGGGAGGCCAGCGTCTGCAGGGTGATAAGTGTGTCGCTGGTGCTGGTCCTCGGAAAGGGACCAGAGCACCAGGAGGTCCTGGAGGGGCGGGAGGGGTCAGGACCAGTGGGACCTACCAGACCCCCGGCCAGGAAGAGGCTGCGGAGGTGACTCCTACGGCTCCCTGCCCCTCCAGCAGCCCTGCGTGGGTGGGGAAACCAGACTTTTGGTAGGAACTTTCTGTCCCCACAGCATCTGCCCAGCCTGCCGGGATGTGTTGACTTCACCGGGGTAATCACTAATGGGAACAGAAACCTCACAGTGTAAATAGAGAAAAGAGGCATACGCAGGGACCAGTCTGCTTCCCCAGATGCAGCTCAGTGGGCCCGGCCACATGGGAGCGACTGACCCTGGGCTGGGCAGCCTTACTGACTGGAGCTGGGCCTCAAAGGGCAGCTGGCCTGGCTGCCCGGGCCCCTGACATCGGTGATGTCCTCTGCCATCTTACCTGTGTAAATGGTAGCCCCTTCTTGAAACTTCCCCATGTTCTTTTTATACCGGATTCTTTTGTTGCCGAACCAGTTGGAGACCTGTGGACAGGCAGAGATGGAAGTCACTGGAAAAAACTGACCTAGCGATGAGACGCGATGTGGACAGACAGCCGGGGGGGGAACATCACTGAGTGACACCGCGTGGCCCTGGGGCTGGGTGAGAGGCCGGGACTGAGAAGGTGGCGCTAATGAACTGTGGGCCCAGGGAAACGTCTGCAGTGTGTTGGTGACATCCTGGACCTGGCGTGGCTTACAGGAGAGGGGAGAGCTGGAAGGAAAACAGGCATCTGTGTGACACACTCAGAGAGACGAGTGTCTGCTCACTGCGGCGGCAGGCAACAGACTGAATACTGATGTGGGAGACGCATCAGTAACCACATTTCCGGGAATGCAATTTAAGCAAAGAACACAGTCGAATCCAAAACTTATCAAAGGATAAGGACCACTTGACAGGGCAGGGGAAGGAGCTGAGCACTGAGCTGAGGGCCTGTTTTTAGTCCCCAAAGCCAGTTAGGAGGGAGCTGCAGTCACATGCATCCTGTAAGCAAGGGGCCGGCCCAGGGCCTAGAGGTCTGAGCCCAGCTCTGACTCCAAACCTGCACCGAGACCTCCAGGGCAGGGCTTCTCCCTGTGGGTCACTCTCTGGGGGGCGTCCTGGGCACTGAGGGTGCTGAGCAGCACCCCTGGCCTCCACCCACCAGATGCCAGTAGTGTCCTCCCCTCCCCCCCGAGAGTTGTGATAATGAAAATGTCCCCTGGGGGCAGAATCGTCTGGGTGAGACCCTGGGCAGTGCCTTCCTAAGAGCATGGAGACATATCCCAATGTAAGGCACCAGGCCCTGCAGTGAAAGGTATGTATTTTAATGAACAGAAATAAACAGTTAAGTTACGTGGCAGTACTGTGGATGGAGGACTTTTCTCCTCTAAAAACCTGTTTCTTTCTTTTTTTTTTTTTGTGGTATGCGGGCCTCTCACTGTTGTGGCCTCTCCCGTTGTGGAGCACAGGCTCCGGACGCGCAGGCTCAACGGCCACGGCTCACGGGCCCAGCCGCTCCGCGGCATGCGGGATCCTCCCGGACCAGGGCACGAACCCGTGTCCCCTGCATCAGCAGGCGGACTCTCATCCACTGCGCCACCAGGGAAGCCCAAAACCTGGACTAAGTTTGCAGAAGAATGGCAGTGAGCAGTTTTCCATGTTGAATTCAACTGGCATTTTAGAGGGACAAAGAGCAAACTTCCCGTGTGGGTGACGGAGGGCGGCTGCCGGGGAGCTGGTCCGGGCCAGGGTCCACCCTCTCCACGGGGTGTGTCCCGACACCTCGTACAGGAGTGGGATGCCCTCTCCGCCAGCTGTAGCTCGGAGCCACCGGCCACTCCCTGCCCAGTCACTCTGGTCCCTTTGGCTCACACAGCTGCAGCCTCCTGCGTTTCTGCCCATCGCCCTGTCCATGGGCTCAGCTCTCCCGCCCTTTCCCCCTCGGGCCTCCTCACCCTGGAGTTGCAGCTGATCCTGTCCTGAAAACGTCTGTTGCCTCATCTGCAACACCCTTTGCCCTAATGGTGCTCTCCCTCCCCCGCTACTTCCTCCTTAGGCGAACCGCACAGCCTACACGACATCTGTGTCCCAAATTCCGAGCCCTTCCTCAGCTGTCAGACATTCCCAGCTGGAGGACCTGCCCGAGTGGGGAGGGGCTCCCAGCACAGAATTCTGCTGCTGGTGGGCGGGGTCTCAGGGCCCGCCCACAGAGCAGGAGTCACTGGAATGTGGCCGGTGCTTTTCAAACTTTTGTTTGCAACGAACCCTCTCCTGAGATAAAGTTGAGACCCAAGACCCATGTGCTCTCAGGGGGTGCCAGGGCTTGAAGTGAATCTGGCCGTTTTCAGACAACTGCTCACGGTGACAAACAAGCTGCCGTGCCTCCCACTTCTTTCGGGCCTCGAAGCCCCAGAGGTGCAGCCCTCACTTCAGCTCCAGCCAAGGTGCTGAGGACACCGCAGCAGTTCCAGGGTGAGTGAGGTCTCATGTGACCGGGACACCTGTGAGGCTTTGCTGCCTGTGTGACCCTGCGGGGTTCCTGAGTGCCCTTGTCCCCAAGTCGCTGCTGGACTGGGCAGGGACCAGAGCAGAGGGTGGTGACGGAGGGCACAGGCTGACTCGGCTGGAAACTCAGCCCCTCCAACTGCACAGTGGGAGCAGCTCTCCCTGCAGCCGGGGGCGGGGTGCCGTGCCCTGACCCCCACGCTGCCCCACGGGCGTGGCCTGGTCCTGCCTCTTGCTTGTGGGCTGCCTGCACTTACCATTCTCACTTTAAAGCCTTTGGAAATATTTCTTGGGTTCTCATCTTAGCCCCGCCACCTTACCCCAATTCCAGTGAGGACAGTGGTGGTCCCGACTACCAAGGTTGCCTAAGGTTGTCCAGGTCCCTTCTCTGATCTGCACCACCATTCCCCCTCTGGAGCCAGATGTCGTCTGTCTTGTACCCCCAGACACACACACTGGACTGTTTGAGAAACAAGAAGGCAATGCGCGCCTGAATTTATCCCAGGATAACTGAATCGGTACTTAAGCACAAGAGCTGGTCTATCACTTCAAGTCCTAATTTTCCTCCAAGTTCTTCTTCTTCTCCCAAGCTCATACCCCACCCCTCTTGCGCAACACAGCACATCCCTCTGTTAGGAGAATATTAAATCCTAACGACTACAATCCACTGAGTACCTCATGATACACTCTGTGGTGTCGCCTCTGGGACCGCACACTCCACACCAGTCGCCTCAGCGAGTCCCCACACCTGGTGGGTGTGGCTTCCCGCCTGAGGCCCACGTTCATAGCCCAGACCCGGGACCTAAGCCCAGTCAGGCCGACTGGGAGCCTGCATACCCGGCTCCCGCCCCACACATTTCACCAACTTCCCTGGGTGTCCTCCTCACTGGGCTGAACTTTCCCTCCCTTCCGGGTTCAGGGAGGTGTGGCAGGAAAGGACTGTCACCTGGGAGACGGTGATGCCACCCTTCCTGGCCAGCTCTTCTTTGGTTTCTTCACTGGGGTAAGGGTTGCTCACATGGGAATAAAAATATTCATTCAGCACTTCCGTGGCTTGCTTGCCGAAGTTCTGCGGCTTACGCCTGTGAAGACAGACAGCCTCAGCTGGGGATCGTACATGGGGCCTCGTCCTCGTCTCTGATTCCCTACAGTTGTAACAGCAGCAGCCAGCACTTCAGTCGCCTTCCAAGAGGCTGTGTGAGGGCTACGCCTGCAGCTGTGGCCACAGCCCCTGCACAGGCTTGGAGGCCCCCAGAACTGAGACCCAAGCCAGCACTGACTTAGGTTCCTCTTCCTAAGAGCTGACCCTGGCGTCACAGGCCGGGGGTAGGTAGGGCCTGACCTGGCATCGAGGAACCTCGAGCACAGGGTCATCACGCTCTCGCAGGTGCTCTCCTTCAGCTGTATCGGGACGCTGTTGAACTTGCCGTGGAGGATGCCCACCATGTGCTCGATCTCCTTGGGCGAGACAGGCCTTATCCTGCTCTGCTCCTGGAGAAGGCTGGTGACATGCGTGGGGTGGGGAGACAAATGCCAGCCGGTGACTACCCGGCAGGCTGTCCCGGGGGCTCCATGTGGGACCAGCCACCTGCCCCCCGAGGCTCCCACACAGGCTGGCTACGGAGAAGTGAGGGCAAAAGGCTTCTGGTAAAATCGGCCACCTTTGCTGTGAGACCAAGTGTGTGGACCCCCTGCTCTGGGCCACCAAAGGCAGGCAGTTAGCGCTCCACGTTTCGCTTTGACAAATGCGCATTCACATGACAGAAACTCTTCCATGCAGAAAGATCCCCTGTTCCTATTTCTCTAGCTCAGAGTGGTAAATCTGTCGGATCTGGGACAGCTTGGCCCTGTAGTCAGAGCGCTCAGGGCCATTGTCATTTGGACAGCCACCTGGTGTTGCTGTGCCGGCCGCCGCCTGGGCTCCTCTTCGGTGCTTCTCCGGCCTGCACATGCCCTCGGCCAGCAGCATGTTATCCAGCTTTTGGAGCTGAGCGTCGGGGGGACCCTCTTCCGGAATGCCACGAATGTTCAACCCTGGGTAAGAGAGGAGACACTGAATCAGTGTCTGTTGTCGGAATAAAAACAACCACGACAGAGTGTTAGCACTGTCTTCGTGTCTGAACACTTTTCACGGAACCCTTGAGGGGAAAGAAAGGCTTCATCTGATAACAGACATTGAGTAACCCCCGTGACGCTGGTCCAGGTGCCGTGCTTAGAAGCCCAGCCCGGGTGGCGGGAATGCAGGGGGCACACCGATCACAGCTCACAGCCCACAGTTGGGTGTGTGTGGGGGCCTGCAGGGCAGGGGCGGGGTGGCACTGGGTGCTGGAAAGCCTGAAGCCCTGAACCTTGTCTTCAGATGGGAGAGGAAGCACGTTCCAGACACACACACTAGCACAGGCAGGGATACGAAGGCTAGTGGCCGCCTGGCTTCAGGCAAGGCCGTGCTGCTCTGCGTCTGAAACGGAGCCCCCCCCAACCGAGTTCCCTTACTGAGTTTGACTAGTTTCTCTATCTAAAACTTTATTCCCTTTCTTGTCCCCTTTGACCTCAGTCCTGTGCTAACTGAACACTAATCAATCAGTCAGATGACTAAAATTGCTGTTGTTGATAACATCGTTAACGTGCCAAAATTGCTATTATAGATATCGTCATTAATGTACAAACTCAGGTTATGTCTCCAGGGCAAGGTGAGCTAACAGACCCCTAAGCCACGGACCCACCTGGTCAGCGACTCATAAACCAGAGACGTCCTGACTCCCGAAACTACGATTACGAAATGTCACAAGATGATGATTAATTCCAGCCTCTCTGTTCTTCCCCTTAAAAAAAAACAAACCAAAAAACCCTCACTCAAAGACCAAGGTGGAGTAGATCTGAGGCTTGTCTCCCACTCCCTTGCTTGGCACCCTGCAATAAACACTGTACTTTCCTTCACCACCACCCGGTGTCAGGAGAGTGACTTTGCTTTTCAGAAGACTGAACTTTGGTTTGGTAA